AAAAAAAATCATCAGATTTATTAATTATAATTAAAATAAGTTCTATTCGCTTTAATATATGATATTCACTAACAAATTCTATTCACTTGTATATGTGATAATTATATATAAATTTTTATAATATTATGTTTAATACTTATAATATTGCACAATTTATTTGTATGTTATAAACAAATATAAGAAATATTAATAGTACTTTAAAATTGATCTACTTTTAAACAACAAATTAACTAAAAACCATGCAATATCCTACAAGTTTCTTTTTTTATTTTAAATATTTGGAATTTCAAACATGTATATAGACTTGCATGACTGGTATTAATATAATATAAAATTATACCATGACAAAAAAATTGTAAACAATTGGCTACCTGTATTTTTGCGCCTTTATATTTTATGCAACCAGGAACAGTAGTAAGAGTTGTAAATTCGTACGCTGCAACTTCCGAATAGACACCAGCAAGTGTACTCAATAGCGTAGATTTACCCACAGAAGGAAAACCTTTAATCGTCATGTGTAAACTTTATGCTTTATTGATACATGTCTAGATTTTAATACATACCAACAAAACCTATTCTAGCATCACCCGTTTTAGCCACTTCAAAACCCTGCTCTCCACCGCCTCCACCACCTTTTGGTGTAATAAGTTCTCGTCTCAATTTGGCTAATTTAGCTTTCAACAAACCCAAATGGCCGGATGTTGCCTTATTTTTCTGAGTGCGGGCCATCTGCAAACGAAATTATATTATAATGAATGAAATAACAAGCTTGAACATAAAAGCAGACGAAAGAGAGGTTACCTCGGCCTCGATCGATGCGATCTTCTCCAATATGGTACTCATTTTCGTTGTCGAAAATCTCCTTTAACTTGTAATATACTTAAAACAAGTTTCTGTCAAGCTCGTTCGCGTTCTCCCATTACAAAGCTATTGGAATATAGATATATTATTGCACAAGTCTTGCACGTGCCGACAGATTATAAACATACGTTACATACACAACTTCAGAACAACGAATAACCTACAAACATTAAGTATAAGCAAGAGAGGAGAGAAATACAAAACTTAAGGCTAGTTTTCAAATACTTTTGCTGTAAGAAATTTACAATTTATATCACAGTTATTTGAATATATAATGAAATCGTAATTACAATTCTATAAAACTGTTAATTACTACATAACGTAGTAATTATTTCAAAATAATATGTGTATATAATTAAATTAATATTCGGACTAAAATAATGTCACAACGAAATACAATAAAAAACATTTTTTTCTTTTTTTTAATCGTTTTTATATTTGCAACTGATTCATCCAAGTCAGTAAAAATAAAGTCATTGACATGATAAGATCTATGATATTAACCGTCATTTTTCAGTAATCTTTTAAAAAGAAGTATGTAACATATAATGCTTTTTTTTGTTTTTACGCCGGACTTTAAAATCTCATCATTTTTGTGTTACATTCTGTTCTGTTGTTTTAGACAGGTATTGTACTACCATTGACTAATAACATTGACTAATAGGAGAGACTGAACATCCAATGCTTTTTCGTATCCTATGCACAGACGTCATTTGTGACTTCGTCTGCGGTAGAGTGCACTTAAAACACAGTGATTTTTTTACTATGTCAGTATTTCAGATTACGGGCAATGAAAGTCTGTAAGATGCAATATCTATTCATATATCTCGTCTGACTAAAAAAACAATCAATTGACTAACTAGCATAGACTGAACAATGATTGAACTCTTTTTCGTGTCCCATCGCACTCTAGCAAACTAAATTCGACATGCTAGTTAAAGGAAAAAACTATTCAAAATGTCGATCTACATTTGAAAGCATTTGCATCTCTTGTTCTTTTTTTAAAGAATCAACGTGATGAGATTACGGATCAAGTATTATAAGTACGTGCACAGTGTGCACGTGTAGATTTTTATTTATTTCTTTGTTTTTAATAAAATATTGTTAGAGAAAAGGCAGCGTAGTTGGTTTAAGATGAATAAAAAATTACAGCAGTGAATAGTGAAACAAATAAAATTACATAATATTGTATAGAAATTAATATACTTTTATACTTTGAAGTACTAGTAGTAATGAAGAACAAAAAATATTTCAAATATTAGCCTCATTGAAGAATGATATAAAGTAACGATTTTGTTGTACTGCAGGTAATTTGAAATAGCTAATAATGACGTTCCAATTTATTGTCACTTTATAAAATTTAAAAAATATATATGTTTTCTTCTGATCTATATAGATATTAGTTGTAACAAAATATTATTAGTTAAATAAATAGCAATTTTAGGTTTGTTTTTACAATAAGTATTTGAATTTATTGCAGATTAGAAGTTTCCTTTTTTTATGGAACAAGAGAAATACTAAAAGAAATAAATGGGAAGTTGAAGTAATTTCAGCTATAACACAGGTACAGATTTCAGTTGTAACTGAAGAGGCTTTTGGTAAACTTCCTTCTTAACCAATAACATTAATCTTCGAAAAAAAATCATCATCACGCTATAGAATATTCTTAATTACATTCATTTTTAATATTACAAATTAGCAACATGGCATTACAGCTTAAAATTCACATTTTGCATCATGTCTTACTAATCGCAAAATTGACACGAAACCATAGAATTGAGTAAATTAAACTATTCACTCTGCAAACTGACAGTTTTAAATGTCTGTAAAAACACAAGTGCTTGTTGAGTTGGAATATTCAAATTACAGTTCGTTCACGTATCATTAATTAAGTTATCGATCTCTATTATTTCTGATGTTATTATACAATTTAGATAACGTTAGTACTTTATTAAATATTTCTACAGATAAGATATATGACATTTATATATCTCATCTGTGCCGTGGCCAAAAAAATATATTGCAATGTTTATTCATATACCTCGTGTATAGTATTTTGATATTACAAGTTACCAACAGTATTCCAAATATGCTGCATTTTCTCTACACCTAATAACAGATGTAATTAGTCTTGCGACACACAGCGAAGAACATAATCGTACTAATGACAGTGAGAAATTGTCCACAATTTAAATTGACATAGAAAATTGATAAAAAATAATAATTTAGTTATTTCAAGTTGCTATTTTTATCTTTATTCCAAATAAAATTTATCCAATCTTGCGATGCTCTCAGTCCCGTTTTAAATCTTAAACCCTCTACTTTGAAACTGTTAATTGTCCATTTTTTTGAAAATGATTTTGACATCATATAACGAGTGAGAAGGTGAGGATATTGTTTTCTCGAAAATTGTAAAAATTCAAACGTGTGTTAAAAATATTAAAAAATTTTTCGTAAACTTCTAAATTTTCAGCTATATAGGATGGCGACGAATATTCTTTTCTGGAGTTTATAAGCCATCGAAAGGTGGCT